AGATTTTGAACATTACAATTTATATTTTTCCAAGCACACAACAGTTTAAAGCAAAGTTTAGTTTGAAAAGAATGAGCAGGAAGGATTGAAAAGCATGTTAACACGGTAATGTAGGCTTGAGTTCATTATCTGACGCATGCAGATACACACCAGGAACCTGGAAACTTAAAAGATACTGAATAACAAAAAACATTTAAAAAACAAACATGTTTCATTGATATATATACAAAAATAAATATTAGGAACTATATTTATCAAACATTATACTGGGCAAGTAAAAATTGTTTCTGGGCAAATGAAATGTGAAAGTCAGTTGCCTGAAGGGCAAGTGGTAAAAATCCTTAACGTCAACCCCTGTTAAGGAATATTGCAATGAAGCCACTGACAGTCGCCCTAGATATCCTCCAGGGAGAGGACGACTGCTCCCTCTACACACTGCTACCTACCCTGGAGACCTTGATGATGAAAACCCTTGAGCTGAAGAGTGGGCTTGTTGACCTTCCAGAGGCAAATGTGGAGGTAAGAATATAATTTCTGTTCAATTTTTTTTAAAACTGTGTATATTGTGTATAATTGCATAGATGTGTATAATTATAATACATGTGTATAATGTATTATATGTTGTACTCATAGTGTGTGTGTGAGAGCAGGGGCGTCAGCTGACTCAATACTATACAGGGGCACAATAGGGCACCAAATAAAATGCAAGTGAGCAAAGAACACAAACAAAAAGTTTCTGGGGCGATTATTTATTTAAATAAAGATGGGAACAGATAATTAATGCAAGCATGTAAGCAAATATTTTACAGCACTTATTTTTTATATTAAAGCTTCATAAATATTTTTTTAATATAAAAAAACTATTTTCTGTAAACGTGTTTATTTATGAGCAACTATGCAGATTATCAAACTTCTAGAAAAAGTAGATTATATTCTATAATTTTCCATGTGAATCCTAGATTGTTCGTTCTTCTTTACCTTTTCTAAAAAGCTCTTTAAATGAGTCCTCGCTGGCTTTATCCATGCTGGGTCAGATCCTGACCTTTGAAAAAGGAGGCAGGGGAAGCAGGATAAAGCTAAATGCAGTTAGCCAAGCTTTCCTGCTAAACCAGGTCCTGGAAAAGGACGTTTCTTGCACCATTTTTCTCTCTCTTTCTCTCTGAGGTGGTGAACAAAAAAACTTCCTGTCAGCTCGGGCCCACCAGGCTGTGGCGGAGCTTTGAAAGTGGAACATTAAAAAATGAGTGCCCCACCGCTGATACACAATGTAGCACGTGTCCCTGTGAAAAGGATCTGACCACGCCAATGTGTGTGAGAGAGAGAGAGTTTGCATTCGTATAGACAGTCAGTGATGTGTTCTTTGCTTTATGTCATTTCAGGCGATAAAAAGAAGATTTGCAGAGGTACTGGACAGTGACAGTGCTCTCCTGGCTGCTGTGACTCTGCCAGGTTCAAGTTACGTTGGCTGCTGACCCAAGAACGAAAGGACAAAGCAGAGCTGCTGGCGGTATGTCGTGCAAGTGTAAGAAGTGAAGACCATCACAAAGGTACAAGAACCACCACGCCCACATGTACCAGCTCAACTGTAGAGGACGCATAGTTCTCCTTTGATGATGAGGACGACACTTCTGCTACTGCGGAAAGTCAAGTGGAAGATTGTTTGAAATCAGGAGCCCAAATGATTGACTCACTTCATGGATTTCCTCTTATAAAGAGAATATTCCTGAAGTATAATGCTGCCACTCCATCCAGTGCTCCGGTAGAGAGAAGGTTTATCCTGGGGAAGCTGGTCTTCACACCTAAAAGGAACAGACTCTCTGACCTCAAGTTGAGAAGCTGCTTCTCTTGTAATACAACCTCTGGTTTAAGGGCTAAAATGTTGACATGGCTGGGCTAGGTGGATGGATGCAAACATGTTTAGAGTTGGATTTAACAAACCCATGAACAATGTTGGTTCAATTTGCACTCCTGTAAGCAATTTACCTTCTTTAAGAAACACAATTAGAGCACTTTATGTCCATCTGTTGTGTACTAGTTCTGCTAAGTTAGAGTTGGATGAAGTGAAAATGTTTAGCAGTCGACTGTCTTTGCTGTTGGTGAGACAACTGGTTGGATGGGTGGATAAATGAACACATGCATTCATCTACTTTAAGTTGGATTCAAGAAATCCAGACATTTTACTTCAGTTTAAAGCCTCTGTTAGAAGATTTCTCTTTTTTTTTAAATATATTTTGAAAAGTGTTTGTCCATCTGATGTCATTTACGTTGAGTTGCAATAAATGCTAAACTCTCTGCAGGTTCTTGTCTTGGTCGTTCGCTCTATTCAGCTGGCTTTGGAAACACACGGCGAGAAGGTGGGGGCCGGGTGGTGAGGGTTACAGGGGCGAGAAACGCAAAAGTAACGCAATAGTTACTTTTACTAGTAACTAGTTACTTTTATTGTGGAGTAACTCGGTTAGTAACTCAGTTACTTTTTGGGAGAAGTAACTAATAACTATAACTTATTACTTTTTCAAAGTAACGTGCCCAACACTGTGTATGTATACACCTATATATACTAGGGGTGGAACGGTTCACAAAATCCACGGTTCGGTTCGGTTCACGGTTTCGTGGTCATGGTTTTCTGTTCTGTTCGGTATATGTTGATTGTTACCCCGAAATCCCATAAAAATGTATGAAATTAATGAAAAAATCCCCAAAAATTAATTAATTGTAATCATTTTTAATGATTTGCGGAAACCCTGCACCATTTCCGTATGTTTTGCTGCTTTGAATTTAATCATCTGGCGCATGCCCCCTACGATCTCCAAGGAACTCAGAGGGGAGCAGACGGAGCCACAGTGGAGGCTGTAGGCTTTGCTTTGAGCAGCCGGTCTGGAGCGCAGCGGGGCGGAGCGCTGACGGAGGCTGTGGGATTTCAGGGTTAGCATGACATGTTGGTCGTGTTGCTGTTAGCATAAACAAAATGTGTTGCACAATGCTCGCACACTGTTGCACTTTTATCCACAACTTTCTTTCCGCCGTCATCGTAGGTCACTCTAAATGCAAAGTGGTCCCATACAGCAGACCTATAAAGTGCTGCTGGCGCGTCTTCCAACTCCTGATCTTTCCCACTCGCCATACCCACACAATTCTATATATATATATATATATATATATATATATATATATATTTACATATACATACGAATCCATCCATCTTCTGTGGCTCATCAGGCAGTGTCACTGTGGGGCTGCTGCCTACCTCCAGCACTCTCCTTCACTTATGGAATGTTGCCCTCAAGCTTCCTTCTCTGGTTGCTGAAACCACCTCGTTTTTCATTAATGATAAAGGAAAAAAAATCCTGAACCAGCTCTCAACAGAAAATGATTTAATGATAATTCTGAGTAAACCTTAATGACTCTTGTGTAGCTTAATGGTCAAAGGAAAAATAAACTATCCAAATAGGGAAGATCACTCCTTTAAGTTCACATTATAACAGAAAATGTCCTACGCTCATGATAATTTGAAATAAAAATAAGACTAAATATTACCCAGAGTTTCTACCTTTCTCTTTTTCTGACAATATATTAAACTCTTGCCACATGGTCTGTGTTGACCTGCTGCCTGATGACCCCTGTCTCCTGTTTGCTTGTTAAAGGTGCTGAAGGAGATCTTGGAGAAATGGTTCCAGCAAGCGATATTAATGAACGTACACAACCATGCCTCTCCTTTCAGACCACCCCTCAGAACCATGCCTTCAAAACACATGAACCAATCGTATACAGCGGAGCGTCTTTTGTGATTGGTTGGCGTTATTCATTGATTTCTCACTGTAGTGGGGACCATTTATTTTAGTTTCGCTTACCGACCTCCTATTTCACTGCTTGCTACGCGGCTGTGCGGAGATCTGTAAGCCACGTGGTAAGAAACGCGTCAGAAAAGATCTCCTACGTCACCTTTAGTGTTGCATTTCTTGAAAATTAGTCTAAATGGTTAAAAAAGACTAATAAATCTACTATTGCCTAAATATACTTTTGTGCCTCATAGTTCTGTCTTTTCTCTTAGGATTTTACTATATTTCAAAGACAAATGTGTATTCCTGAAGAGTAATGATAAATGAATAGAAAAATGTTTTTAAATAAACATAACAAGTCTAAGTAACTTTTATGTATAAATAAATACAAACAGAGGAAATCCTGTTTATCATGTAAAACACTCAGTAGTGGTCGCCCCACATGATCCTCCGTCATCCCAGATAAAACATTTTAAGTTCACTCAAACATTTCAAACTAATATTTAGCTACAGAAACCAAGCTAGGTACTTCTCATGACATTTTCCATCAAATTAATCATCAAAACGTAGATCTACATTTAAAGGTTAGTTTTCAAAGTTCTGAGGAGGTCGCCTCACATGATAGCTAAAGGTGTGCAGTAGTTAACAACAATCAAACTGCATTTATCAAAAGTCTCTGGCTGATGCAGTATCCAGTCCCTGTCATCATTTAAATGAAAAGTCAGAAAGTTGTGCTTTTTCTGATGGTCGCCTCTAATAATAATTCATCAAATGATCGTGTACAGACATTTGTTTGGATGCTAGGATAGAAACAGATGTACAGATGCTTATTTTGTCAATAAATGTAAAACAAGATAGTTGCTAAGAAGGTGAAGAAAGATATTAAAGTTGGTTTAATTATTTTAAACTGGTTTTCTGAATCAACATGAAGGCTGGATGGTCGTCCCACAGTATAAAACATCACTAATTAAATTGTTGGGAAAACTAAGATTGGGTTTTTGCACTGTAAAAATGAAGAAAAAATTTTCTGGACCGACAGAATCTAAAGGTTTAAAGATAGAAGTTGGGGTCCAAAACTATTATTGTAATGTCAGAGCTGCAATGCATGTTGGGATATGTAGTTCCAGTCTGTTTGTCAGTAGATGGATCAATACAAGGATCATTAAAGTGAAGTTTCATTTATATAACCACCAATAAAAAGTCTTTCTGCTGTTTGTCTTCCAGACTGCCTGCAGGATTATATTGGAAAACAGGAGGATTTCTATGACCAGCAGCTCTGTGGACAGGAGAGGAATTCCAGTTTGGACCAAGAGGAACCAGAACCTCTGCAGATAAAAGAAGAGCAGAAAGAACCAGAACATCCCTGGACTAAAGAGGAAACCATGGAGCTCCCCATAGGTGAGCAGGAAGAGCAGCTTGTTCTGAAGAAGGAGACTGAAGATACAAACGAGGAATATTTCCCATGTTTGACATGTGGAGAAAACCTTCCAAATAAAGAACATTTTATAGATCACAAGAGCACTCACTCAGGCAAGAAGACTAAGGAATGCCTGTCCTGTGGGAAAAACTTTTCTCAGAAGTCAAATCTTGTTACACACGTCAGACTTCCTACAGGTGAGAAACCATTTTCCTGTACTATTTGTTACAAAAGGTGTACCGTAGAAAGTAATATGACAAAACACAAAATGGATCATACTGGTGAGAAGCCTTTTGGATTTCTGTCCTGTGGGAAAATATTCACCTTTAAATCTGGCTTTAATGAACACATGAGAATCCACACAGGTGAGAAACCTTTCTCCTGTACTATTTGTAGCAAACATTTTACTCTAAAGTGTAATTTAACTGAACACGTGTGAATTCGCACAGGTGAGAAGCCTTTCTCCTGTATAATTTGTGGCAAAATATTTGCCATAAAATGTCATTTGACTTTTCACATGAAAACTCATTCAGATTAAAGACTTTTTTCTGTTCTGTTCTGTGGAAGAAGCTTCACTCAGAAATCTCATCTTGATCGACACATCAGAATTCCCACAGGGGAGAAACCATTTTCCTGTACAGTTTGTGGCAAAAGTTTTACTAGAGAAGATAATGTGACTCAACACATGGCGACTCATGTGAGAAACATTTTTCATTCATGAAAATTGAAACTAATTATCCTAAAAAAAGATTGATTGCTTCACATAAGAAGTCACAGCAGTAAGAAACAACAGGAATAAACAGACGTTTTCCATGTTTGACTTGTGATAAAATGTCCATCTAGAAACTCCTTCACCTCATTACATAAAAACCTCACTGGTTAAAAGCCTTCTGCTGCTAAGTTTTCATTTTCATTCTTTTCATTAACAGAAACTGTTTATTTATTTCAAATAATTTCTTTCTGTGGTGGATGTTTCCCTTTAATGTAGTTACTTCTAGATTTATGTAGTGAGTAGGAATAAAAACCTAATGGATTTAAAAAATGTATATTGTTTCATTCCAATAACAAATTATTGTTTTCCATGTTTTTTCTGATATTTATAGACAGCCTAAAGCTTTAACATAAATTGTTTAGTGGTATTAAAATGTTCAGTTGATGATTTAGGGAATGCGTCTTCCTTTTTTCTGTGGTAATCGTTTGGCAAATTTAATAATTTCATATTTAGTTGAAAAGAGACGAGTTTATAGTTCTGTTTTGTGCTTCGGGCACATTATGATTTTTGTCTATTTCTTTTCTTTGTTTTCTTACAGACTTTAGTTGAAGGATCTGTTGTTAATATATTTTGGGAGTTGAATAATTCTTTTAGCGAGTTAATTACGTTAATTTGTGGTGCTGTCGTCCGCCTATAAATAGGCTGGCTTTCAGCATGTTGGGGCATTCCTTTCTATCTTCGCCTGGACGCCGCTTTTCCACCTGCTTCCACTTGTTCCACCGTGCGCGGTGCGCACTTGTCTTGTCGCTGCGGCCTGCAGCGGACGTTCCAGCCTGCCATGCGGTATTTTTGTTAACTGTTTCTTACTTTTTTCTTGTGGTTTATGGCCTGGCGGGACCGGTTGTTTGATTTTTCTTTTGCTTAGGTTATTTTTGGCCTTTAGTCCGGTACCAGTAGGGGCTTCGACGGCCCTGTATAGGGTTGGCCCCCTGCTGTACCGTTTTGTTCTGTTTGATCGGCCTGCCAGGTCCAACTTTCTTTTGTTACTTTTGGTTTTTTTTTTTTTATTCCTTTGGGGCACGGGATCTGAGGGCGTCTAACTTTTTCTTCGCAGTAATCAGAAGAAGCCGAGCAAAGAAGGCTAAAGAGGAGAAAATTTATAAATAAAATATCTTTTCTGAACCCTCATCTTTTGTCTCGTGTCCTCAAATATGTTGTGCCCTTGGTGGACGTAACAAGTTCTCAGACAAAAATTTGGAGCTGGCAGATGAAAAATAAAGTCTGATTACAGGATGGACCAATAAAGTCTATGTTTTAACCATCACTGGTTATGGAGCGTTCCTTTGGTATTAAGAGGTTAATGTTGAGCCATCAAATCATCTCTGTCATGTATTTGTTCTGCCCAGCCACTCAACCAGGTGAGTCCAATCTGCATGGTTTAATTCACGGTGCAGATTTGACTCACCTGGTTGAGTGGTCAAAAATGCTTTAAATTGAAAACATTTTAATACTCAGATATTTGAGCATCCCACTACTACTCACAGAAACTAATGTTACCAAAATGAATAAACTGCTTTTTGAGGCATTCATTCGTTTTCTGAACCCCTAGTCCTTTTATTAGCTTGCTGGATGCAATAAATGCAGTCTATCCCTGCATTTATCAGGCACACACTGGACAGGTAACCACTCCACGTTAGGTCTAAGTCTATATTGTGAGCAATCAAACAGAATTTTTAGTCAGTCTTCTAAAGACAAGCCAAAGTCACCAGGTGTTGCACTAATTATTTCTTACTAACTTCGTGTTCGATCTTTCTCCTCATCCTGGCCTGTTCTTTTATCTCTGCCTTGCTCTCCGTTTGTGTTCCATTCATACATGAGCCAAAGCAAATTATTTTTATCCAATGTAATTTGCATATGTTAATGAAACTAACTCCAGCTGTTCCCTCACCTGGACTCTTCTCTTGCCTTTTGAAAAAGGACCAGTTGTCCTTGGTTGGCAAGTGACAAAAAAATTTACATATGTTTCTAAATCAAGCAAGACTGAAATTAATTATAATAGGTTTAACACTAGAATACAACACAATTCCCCCTAAAGCCACCAATTTTGATCATTTCTCAAAGTCGCTCATCTGGTCTGTTCCTGTTTGGCTGTGACTCCATCCTGGAGAGAAATATCAGCTGTGCTGCTGCCATCAACACCTTTGTTTCTAGATGTTGGAGCTTGGCCTGTTTTCCAGTGTAGTCCTGTTTCTCTGACTGTGACTAACTGGATGTGCTCTCTTCATCCTCTGACATGGGAGCTCGTCTGCCTGGCTGTGTGTTTCCTGGACGGGGCTGCCTGTGGAGCTGATTGACAGTTGCCTTTTGTATCTTTGATTCTTTTTCTATGTCTGCTTCTGTCTCCTGGAACCCCAGTAGGCCTCAGCAGATGGCCGCTCACACTGAGCCTGGTTCTGCTGGAGGTTTCTTCCTGTTCAAAGGGAGTTTTTCCTCTCCACTGTCGCTCTAAGCATGCTTAGTGTGAGGGATTGCTGAAGAGTCAATGAATCGATGCAACCAACTGGTTTTCCTTAGATGGAAAACTCTGAATTTATTTGACTGGATGATCTGGTTGAACTGTATCTGTAAAGTGCCTTGAGATGACGGGTTGGGAATTGCCGCTATATAAATAAACTGAAACTGTTACAATCACAAGTACAAATCAATGCAGAATGTCAGATTAAATGAAGTGAAGAAATGTAATAGTTTCAAACCACAAATATTTAGTTATAGAAATCTGAGAATCTCCACAGACATGTTTGGAAAATTTTGAAATAGTAAATTATCTTTATTGTCTAATAAACTTTGTTGCCAGAATTTCTTCCTCGTGCCGCATTCAGCCAAATGACTTTTGGGCATCGGGGGGAGGTGGTTTTTCAGATTTATCAACTCAAGCATCAGCATTATTTAGGTTGTTAAGTTGATGCTTTTGTTGTTATATTTGGGAATCAGTCAGTCAGTCTCCCCCAGGTAGAAAAGCATACAGCCCTGCTTCTGGAAGATGAAAAAGTAAAGATTAATGAACCATAGGGCTGGGCGATAATTCAATAACAATATATATCGATAGACGTGTGGCGCAATAGAAAAAAAGAGGGTCGATAAAAGTTCGATAAAGAAACGCAGTTTTCCTTCCTTCTCATTGTAGCCTATCATGTAGGTTTATGCTAGTCACTACTTCCTCCCAACCAATCGCAATCGCGGACCCAGGCATGCCGTCACAAAGCGCCGCCCTCTCAAACCACAACACAGAGCACACCAAGATATCGCAGCAAGGAGAGGCGGAAGAAATTGTTCCAAAGAAGGGTTTTTGTAGTCGCGAGTTTGGCAGAATTTCAGTTATGGCAAGTCGGACAAAAAACAAACCGCAGTCTTCTGTAAAATTTGTTGAAAACCAGTGAAAACGAAGTCTGGTAACACAACCAACTAGTTTTATCATCTCAGCCGCTCCCAGCCGCAGGAGTACGAGCTGTGTAGGCCCCGCCGCGGCTCTGCATCGTCCTCTGAAAATCTTCGGGAATTTCTGCCAAAACAAAGCAGGCGACGCAGGCTAAATTGGGCTTCCTGGTTTGTGATAAATACGACAAAGCGTCCAAGCAGCACAAGGACATTACTCATGCTGTAACATACTTCATAGCAAAGGATATGCTGCCGTTGTCTGCTGTTGAAAAACCTGGGTTCAAACAGTGGCTCACCACCACGATACCAAGTTCCGCACCGAAAGTTTTTCTCAAACACAGCGCTGTCAATATGTAATACATAACTCAGGTCTCTTAAGTTATTTTTCTTTAAAACAATTCTGTTATGGTTAAAAAAGTTGGTTAAATAAAGATTTAATTGGAAGTCTGTGTTTGTGTTCTTTATTAAAATTAAATCATTTAGCATAAAATGTCCAGGCAGAGCTGCACATAAAATATGGTTTCAAATCTTTTCAATAATTATCGATATCAATCAATATGCATTTTTTTTTTATCGATAAGCTTTTTTTCTATATTTTTTTTATCGATAAGCTTTTTTTCTATATCGATCAGCCCTAATGATCCATCCTCTGATTAGTAAGGATGTTTGAAGCCAACAAACCATAAATATTGGAACTATAGTGATTAAAGTATTACTTGGATATGAAAAATTGCTACAGTACATTCCTCGCTTGTTGACTTCTGGTAACTTAGCAGTGGCTGCCTTGATGCCTGTAGTAGTGCAAGTACTGCCAACGTAACCAAACCTTTAAAAAATTATTTTAAAGCTCCAAATTTAAAGATACTTAACTGTTTGCAGAGATAAAGAATATGTTTCACTAAAGATCGCAGAGCAGTATTAAAGGATTTTGCTGTTGACCCTAGAATATCAGATCTTATCCATGTTTCCCACAAATAAATGACAATCCAAGGTCTCGTGAAAACTTCAAAAGGATCTAGACAGTCTCTACTTTTAATGACCAACATAATTTGGCAGAAAATCATCTCTGGCTCCGAGTTCACACTAAATGATGCTTCCTTGCACTGAAATACACCATCCTGCAGCCAACATCCCTCACATCACCACATTAGAGTGTTCTAGAACAAGAACATACCTGCTGATGTGTTGCTTTTCTTTGAGTTTCCATAAAAGATGAATAATAATGGGAAGTAAACTTCAGAAACTCAGTTGGAATGGAATATTATCTCAATGACAGCATGTTACTCCTGGTATCCAAACAGCCATAAAACCACAGGTTCCTGTCATTTCTTTCAATAATAACCCCACAGAGGTGATGAGTTCTATCCACAGTCTTTGCTCTATTGTTTACTATTTGAACTGTAAAGTGCCTTGAGATTATCCTGACTCCGCCAGATGGATTTGCTCTGCATATCCATCTGGAAACCTTCCGTTGAAGTAATTTTGGGAAGGGGCGAAAATACTGGTTAGCTGATTGGCCTATGTTGGTGATAGACGGGCCAAATAAACCAATCAGATCAACGAAGCATATGACGTACTACCAGAGCGACGACGAAAACACAAGAACAAGCCAGGCTACTCTTGCTGAAACCAGTCGGGAGAAGAGCAAAAACATCTTTTCCTCTGAGAAAAGCCTCCAGGGCAGTGTTTTGCTCTTCTTTCAGTGAAGAAATACTCTGTAAATGCGATAAAACTTGCTCGATAGCCACGCTAACGCTAGTTTCATCGGCTGAAGCCGCCATGTTCTTTAGACTGAACTGTCGCGCTTCTCGTTGCGTCACACCTCAACCCGCCTCAAAGCCAACGCTGATTGGACGTTCGTTCGGTTAACGGCTCCAAATTTTCTGTAACAGAGAGTCTCCAGACTGATCTGCGAGTGAAACCTTGAAAGCTCGCGAGATCAGGATGGTCTCATGAGGTTACCTTGATATGACGTGTTGTGAATTGGTGCTATATAAATAAACTAAATTGAAACTGAATTTAATTTAACCTGCTATAGAGAGTCTTTCTGCTGTGTTTGTCTTTCCAGACCGCCTACAGGAGTATGTGGGAAAAGAGGAGGATTTCTCTGACTGTCAGCTCTGTGAACAAGACAGAAATTCCAGTTTGGACCAAGAGGAACCAGAACCTCTACAAATGAAAGAAGAGCAGGAAGAGCCAGAATATCTTTGGACAACAGAGGAAACCATGGAGCTCCCCATAAGTGAGCACAAAGAGCAGCTTGTTCTGAAGCAAGAGACTGAAGATACAGGAGAGAAACCTTTCACATGTTTGACATGTGGAGAAAACTTTCTTAAAAAAGAACATTTAATGGATCACACGAGAAATCACGCAGATCAGAAGATTTATGAATGTCTGTTCTGTCAAAAAAGCTTCACAAAAAAATCTCATCTTAATAGACACATCAGAATTCACACTGGCGAGCAGCCTTTCTCCTGTACAATTTGTGGCAAAAGTTTCACTCAGAAAGAACATTTGGCTTGTCATATGACATCTCACTCATATGAAAGACATTTTTCTTGTATGACATGTGGAAAAAGCTTCACTCAGAAATCTAGTCTTGGTAGACACATCCGAACTCATATAGGTGAGAAGCCTTTCTCCTGTACAATTTGTGGCAAAAGGTTTTCTGTAAAAAATAGTTTAACTGAACACATGAACACTCACACGGGTAAGAAGCCTTTGGAATGTGTGTTATGTGGAAGAAGCTTCATGAATAAATCTCATCTTAAAAGACACATCCAAATTCACACTGGTGACCAGCCGTTCTCCTGTACAGTTTGTGGCAAAGGTTTTACTCAAAAAGTTCATTTGACTTGTCACCTGACAACTCACTCAGAAGAAAGACCTTTTACTTGTGTGACCTGTGGAAAAAGCTTCTCTCAGAAAGCTACTCTTGATGCGCACCTCAGAATTCACACAGGTGAGAAGCCTTTCTCCTGCACTATTTGTGGTAAAAGTTTTACTGTAAAAAGTAGTTTGAATAAACACATGACAACTCATATGAGAAACATTTTTCATCCATGACACATGAAACTAATGATCTAAAAAAGAGATTTGTTGTTTCGCATAAAAAGTCACAGCTGTTAGACACCACAGGCATGAACAGTAGAGGCCTTTTCCATGTTTGACTGGTGAGAAAATGTCCATGTAGAAACCCCTTACCTCATTAAATGAGAAAATCCCAGTTTATAAACCCTTTTCTGGCTAAGTTTTTGGGAAAACCTTTAATTAAGAGAAGAATGTGTCATCTAAGTTATACAAATATTTTTCGCTGAGGTGGATGTTTCCCATTTATGTAATCACTCCCAGATTGATGTACCAAGCTGAAATAAAACCCACATGGATCCTAAAATGTCTATGGTGTTATATAAGTCAAACAGGGGCTGCTCAGTAGAGAAGTGGGTAGCACTGCTGCCTTGCAGCAAGAAGATTCTGGGTTTGATTCCCGGCCTGGGTTCTTTATGCATGGTGTTTGCATGTTCTCCTTGAGTACGCATGGGTTCTCTACGGGTACTCCGGCTTCCTTCCACAGTCCAAAAACAGGACTGTTCGGTTAATTGGCTTCTCTAAATTTTCCTTAGATGTGAGTGTGTCTTGTATGTCTCTGTGTTGCCCTGCGATGGACTGGCAACCTATCCAAGGTGTAGCCCACCTCTCGCCTGAAGACATCTAGAGATTGGAACCCCCCCTTGGGACCCCCCGGGATCAGGTGTGGTGGAAAATGAATGAGTATAAGTTAAACAATCTTTTTCCATGTATTCTTTTATGTTTTCAGACCAGCTAAAGCTTTAATATAAATTGTTTAATGGTATTGAAATGTGGAGAGAATGATTAGTGAAGGTGTTTTTAGTTTTTGTTTTTAATTATGTTAGGGTTTATTATTTATACATCATGTGCACTGTTGTTTGTTAGTGTTAAAGAAAAATGATTATTTTTTAGACTTTAATACAGTTAATCTTATGGCATGTGTAAACACTCTCACTTGAACATATTTCTTAATTTTGAACAAGGCTGTGTTAATGATTTAAAACTACTAATGGATAAGTATTTAGACCACCAGCCCATAGAATGAGTTTTCCCTTGTGTTCCCA